TATTTGTAAGTCTTTGAAGGTTGGAAATATGTATTATGTTTTTATATCTCTCAGGGTCTATGAGTACAATACAGATGTCAAAAGCTCAAATATTTACTGAATAAATTTTACAAAGTTATTCATACCCGAACATATTGTTTTCTATAATAAGCGGTGGAATTCTTTTTAAACAGTAATTAAGAGCAAGAACTGATTCCTGCTAACTTCTGATTTTTTTTATCGCTTTGAACAATTTAAAGTAGCATGATCGGGTTCTATTCCTTTGTCAAGCATTCTTAGAATCCAGATCCTTGTCAGCTGCTTGGTGGTTGCATGTATCATCCCAGCACTCTCAGAGGCTGAGGCAGGAGGATCACACAAACTCGGCTGGGCATGCAGCTCGGAGGGAAGCCTTGTGTTCATTCCCATTTTCTTCCCAGGAAAAAAATCAGATCTTTGCCAAGAACCGTTAATTACCCATCCAATAACCTTGATAGTAAACAAGGTATTGATAGATTATGAGAACACTGCTGTCAGTAGCATGAGGAAAAGGTAATAAAATCATAAATTCAGTTCACATAACCTTGACATTATTGAGCTACTATACTAATAAAAGTAGCCATCTTCTCCCAGCTTTATGGGAGAAAAAATAATTTCATGAATGATACTGTAAGACAGGTATTCTGCTGTATGCAGCTCATGATCTGTAACTTTTTAAATAGTGTGTTTTCATTTGCATAGCATTCCCATGGCCCATAATTTTACTTCTGGGGTAGATTAAATAGTAACTTATCAAAAAAAAAAAAATAAATAAAACAAATGAGGAACAGTGATTGTCCTCTAGATTTAATCCTTCTTTATTTTTTCTCACTGAAGAAAAGATGGTTGCTTTCTCAGGTGGCACACTAATGTCCGTAGCTTTGCCAGTTGGGCAGTGTATGCTGCTGATTCTTCTAGCTTTCTCGAGTCCTTGCTGTTCCTCCACTGTGAGGGGCCCACTGGGCATTCTGGTGCATAGCCTCTTCTGTAGAGCTTGCCCCTGTGGCAAACTTCTGTCAGGCCTCCTAGGGATTCCCTTGGAATCTGCTGTTCCCTTTGCAAACTGCCGTCATAGCATAACTTACACTCTGCATACCTATAGAACCAGCACCACGTGGATGCTGCCAAGGTCTGCTGCTGGCAAGGAGAGTACCTGGAGCTGCTTGACCATGGCTGCAGCAGCTGCAGAGCACTTCAGCACAAAGCCAGAGTCCCAAGGTGTCCCTTTGCAGCAAGCACATGCAGGTGTCAGGGCCTTTGGAGGAAATGCTTCTGCCCTCAGAAGGCCTTTGGGCCTGTGTTGGGAGAGGCAGCCTCACAGATTTATGAGATGCCCTCCGGGCCTCTCTCATTGTCAGGATGCAAAGCAGCTGGCTCCCTTTTATCCATGCTAATCTTGCTAGCAAGCAGCTCAGCCGTACAGTTATAAGCTTTGTCACTCTCTCCCTGTTAGACTGCAAATTTTCCAAGTCTTTCTGCTCCATTTCCATTTGCTTCCAAGTCTCACTGTCACTCGGACTGAAAGCAGCCAATAATACATATGTTGAAAACTGCTCCACTACTTTAATTTTTTTTCCCACCATCATTCTTAAATTAGGTCTTCCTTACAGCTCTAGGATTTGTGCACAGTGCCGCCAAGTTCTCTTCAACAGTGCAGTGAGGATGACTTTTATTCCCATTTTCTGTTGGATCTTTATTTCCATGCAAGACCAGCTCTACTCTGGCCTTTGCAGTCCTCACCAGAGCCATCTGTACTCCTCTTACAGCACTCTAGTCTGTTTCTAACCTGCTTTTTCAAGTTCTTACCACCTGTGCCTGTTACACAGTTCCAAAACAGCTTTCTATTTTTCAGATACAGTTATCCCAGTGACCCAACTCTTCAGTTTACGATCTTCTGTATTAGCCCCTTACTAATGAAATACTATAGTGAAATATCTGAGCCTGAGTACTGAAGGCCAAATGGTATGGTGTGAGCAGTGGCTCTGCCCTAGGGACGACTCCTGGAACACAGTGGCTGGAGTGGATGTGAGAAGGAAGAGATAATGCGGCAAGACCGGAAGCCCAAGAGTCTTGTTCTTTTTTAATGACTCACTCTCTAGAGCACTAACCCGAGGCCCTTAATCACCAAGTCATTCTTTTCCTAGGGCAACACCTCCAGTGAGTTCCCTAGGCTCTGCCTCTTTAAACGTGCCATCATCTCTTAATGTTAACACTCTAGAGACCAAGCTTCTACTACAAGAAGTCTTGGGACTCAGACTACAGCAGGTAATACAATGTTTTTGTCCCATGTTTTCAAAAGAAATTTTTCTGAAAGTACTCCAATTATTGGCTTCAGGTAATGAATTGAATATTATGGTTTTCTATAGCCTAATTAAGAGTCAAATAAATGTTTATACATACCTTCTGTCACACCAAAATTATGTCTAGAGGGTAACACCCCAAAGTAGCTTCTGTAGAAATTTACTTGCAGCATTATAGTATAACTATTTTTAAAAATTAAAATGGAAGAGCCTCAGTGTAAACATTTTGCTCTGGTGTATTAAAAAGGATTAATCAAAATGTTTCTTCTGAAATATGTATGGAAATGTTTGAGAGGATCTCACTCTAATCACATTGGATTATGGGTAAGGGGGAGGGCCTGTGAATTCTTAAGTTTGATCCTGGGGATTTGTTTATTTCTTGAAGATTAATACCATTCTATCTTGGTAATCAGCACAAATAAGGTTGTATCCAGACAAGCACCAGCATTAATTGGGAACTTTATCTGCTTCATATTCTTAGGAGAACAAAATCATGATAGAAACCACAGGTGTATGCTGAGCAAAACGTTAGATCATGGATACTATCAGAAAGCACTTTAAGACAGGAAATAGAGGAAAAGCTGAGCATTAGTCACTTGGACATAGGGTTGGAGTCCATGTGTTATGGAGGTAACCCTAGTTAAAGGTCTCTCACTTGGGATAAGATCCCAGTAAGTACAGACAAAAAATGAGAATATGGACTAGAATATAGTCTCAGAAATACTCAAATATTATTAGTTCAGGATTGTTGGCACCCTTAGCACCTAACAGAAAGAAATGAAGCTCCTCTCCTAGGAACATCATCCAGTGCTTCAAATTATTTCTATAAATAGCTTTTCAAATAAAATGAACAGCAGACAATCAAAGATAAGGGGTGCAAAAAAAGTCAAGTATGAGTCAGCACCAGCAGAAACAACAGAGAAAAGAAACAGACTATAATAAACATACTTGGAAAATACTATCCTCACTATGTTTATGGAAGAAAAGGCCAAGCTTCTAAATTTTGTCAGACAACTTGGAACTAAGTGACATTTAAGATTTGAAAAAGAATGCCAAAGAATTATGAACTAAAAAGTATAACAAAATAAAAAAACTATAGGTGAATTCTAGAGCCGACTAGGACACATAAAGAGAGAATGCACGAAGTTAAGCAATCCAAAATGAAGAAAGGAGACACCAACTGAAGATCAGGCAGGAAACATGCAGGACTGGGTGGGGGAGGCCTGACGTTTACTGGAGTTAGAAATGAATAAAGTTACTGATCCTATGCTATTTTGTAAAATGTTGTCGGTCTGTTAGTATTTTCCTCCTTTTATTTCTAAAATAAAAAAAAATGAATAAAGAGTAAGGGGAGAAATGATATGTAAAGACATCATAGCCTAAAATTTCTGAGAATTGATTAAAAATATTAATCTGTAATTTAAGAAACCCAATGAAATACAAGCAGGATTTTTATAAATAAAAGGTATTTACTTCTGCCTCATCCCAGTACTGAAGGTATTTCTGCTTCATTCCAGAAAATGCATAGATGGAATAGGTAGCTTTGAGTTGCAGTACGTGGCATTTTCATTTACTAAGTTTAAGAGCTTTCAAAAACATCTACTACCTGAAATATATATTTTTTGTCTAAGCAGCGAGGTTGTTAAACAGGGTATAACTTCTGACAAATAATGACATGCAGTTACTAGCGAAGGTGTAGCCACTCCCATTCTGTCTTGCCCTTCACAAGCACACGTGCACGCACGAACAAACATGCTTACGCGATCACACACACGTACACGCGCGGACACACATCTGCAACACACAGGCACACACGCACCACATATGGGCGTGTGGGCGACTCCGGAAATGTGATTTCCTGGCCCCTGGCGCTACCCAGAGCCGCAGCGGGCAAGTTTCTGAGCAGCGGTCAAACAACTCGGTGAGGGTGGGGTTCCACGCCTCCTTTTCAAAGATACTAAACTCCGCCCTTCTCCAAATCCTCTTGAGGAGAAACTGAAAACGCTGGAATGCAGGCGAAAAACAGCCCTGTGATTGTCAACCAGTCAGCTGACCTTGGCGAGGAGGACGGACCTCGCGGATGGGCGTTTCCTGCCCACTCGCAGCAGGTGCCCGATTAATTTGGTGCCTCGACAACTGTCAAGCTGAGATGGAGCTGCAGGACTCGGGACCCGAAGCGCTCCAGGTCCCCTAAGTTTTCCTCGGTTCGGGTTTCCCACAGAAGCATGGCCGAACCAAAACCTGTTTTTCCACAAATACCAAAAGGTTCCCGAAACTTTTTTTCCCACAGGCTCACTTATCCCACCCTCCCCGGACACACACAATTTATGCCTCTCAGGAGTGGGCTAACTTCGTCTGAACACTAACTGCGAAACAGCAGAAACTAAACAGTCTATTTCCCCCAGCGACGCAAGAAACAAGAAGACACCGCAAAGCCCTAACCTCACACTTGCGTTTGCCTGGCGTTCAAAAGCTGGGGGGGGAGAAGCCAAAAAAAAAAAATCCCCTGGCCCGTTGCCGCGCGGAGCATGCTGGGATTAGTAGTTCCCACCCGGCGCGGGGTTTGAATGCAGCACTGGTTGGCTCTCACAGAGGACTACCGTGCCCGCCGTGCCTCTCGGCAGGGTGGAAGGGGCGGGGCGAAAGGAGGCACGTCTTGCTTGCGCAGGTCCAGGAGACGGAGGGAGGCGGAGGCGCAGAGGTCCAAGTGCTGAAGTCTCCATGTGACAGTGAGCGGGATCCCCGCTCCGAGCACCGCTCGACTCTGGATCGCGGCCACAAAAACCTTGCACTGCTCCAGCTCCAACGCAAACCAGCAGGCCGGGGACACCGGGCTTTCGGCCGCGCCGCCGCCGAACTTGGGGTACAGACTGAGTCGCCGCCGCCGGGAGGATTCCGGGGTACCTGGCGGAGGGAGGCGGCGCGGCGCGGCGCGCGGGGATTTCTGTCAGCGCTCCCGAGCACCGAGGCATGAACGGCTTCACGCCGGAGGAGATGAGCCGCGGCGGGGACGCGGCCGCCGCCGTGGCCGCCGTGGTTGCAGCTGCGGCCGCTGCCGC